CTAGTTTTGAATTAAGTTTTGCTTACAGAGGAAAAATTAGCATAAATAGAATATGTAGATCGTAGATATGCTGGTCGTGTGGACGCATATATAGGATTGTGATAACAAATTTAGCTATTTAACTTGGATCAACAAGAAAAAATTCCAAGTTATGAACACTTGATAAAATGTGATATACTAAATAGGACCCTTATCTCTATCGTTCACTCATACACATATAAAATCAGCCATTTGGTACCTTATTGAGATCAAAATTAGTATCGTAATATGATAGTAAGTGAGCAATAATGCTAGTAGTAATATAGGAGGTAGCATGTGAAGTGTGATTTTGGTACGATTCTCGTTGATTCTGGCGAGACCTGGGTGAAGATATAGACAAAGTCTATTATGGATGAAAATCAACACAATTTCACAACCATTCCAATGGTATAATTGTGGATAAAACAACAATTAGTCCGTTTAATACAAAGCAGGCAATATAATAATCTTATCTTTTAGACTAGGCTAGGTAATATGTTAAACATTTATTAAATACAATGAAAAGATCCTGATAGCAACTATGCTTATTGTTGCGCAAATAAATTTTTAAAGAGGTTACAAATATGTAAATTCTGTACCAAATTCAGGAGACTGCACAAGAGCAGCAGACACGGTTTGTGGCCACATCTGGATTGGTTTTGGTCTGGAATTCGCGTCAGATCGCCGATTAAGGCCACTCCAATCGGACAACTCCGAATGTCGATCACCAGATACCTTGTTAAGTGGACCTCTAGAAGTGGAACCAGGCTCCGAATCCCAGAGACGAGGCGTGCGAATCTTAGGGAAATCTGACTGTACAGCAAGAGATCCTTCAACCTGAATGCCATCTCCCTCATCGGTAGATTCTGTGTCTCTGCTGCCAACGCCTCCAGTTGATTCGAGCTCCGAAGCCAGTGTTCGCAAGACAGAGTTTCTGAGAAGAGATGGGTTGTTAGCCGAGACGGATCTGCACGACTTCCAACATGACGATGAGGTGGCCGGGCGAGGTCGTTTAGAACCCCCAGTGCGGCCACACACTTTGACAACGTGACGTGTCAGATGGGAGCGACGGAAAAAGCATTTACCACAATGTGGACATGCCAAAGAAGTGGGGTGGCGAGCACGAATGTGTTGTGTGAGTTGGCCTCGTGAAGCGAACTCTCCAGGGCTACCGGAGCCATCGGCGTCGCTCACTGGGCAATAAGGACAAGCAAAGCCGGCTTGAGCGGACAACTGGCGAGCCTGATTGGTGAGTGATATGAGGCCGTCCTCACGACGACGACAGTTCGTCCCGGATCCCGATGATCCGCTAAAAGCTTGCGCAGAGCGTGATGCCACAGTTGAAGCCGATGTCGCTGGTATCACGGCTTCTAATAGGTCAGAACGACGAGAATCAGATCTTGGAGAAAAACGACTCTGAAAATGAGAAGCAGCATCAGGACACGTTTTTCTGGATTTCACAGCATAATCTTCTTCTTCCTCATCTTCCTCTTCATAATCATCTTCAAGGTCATCCTCTTCATCATCAACATCTTCCTCCTCTTCGACTTCATCAGTCTTAGGCTCAAAAGCTGTTTGCTCCGACCAATTTTCATTCCAACTCTGAGCCTTACCTAAAGCCATGTAAAGATTATTTTCGCTTTCGCCTTCACTGTCGTCCTCCTCACATACTTCCTCTCCAACTTCCTCCTCTGTCTCCATCTCATTACCTGACCCAGTGAAACGTGCTTCATTTTTTGGTTGATCAGAACATAAAAGAGCGGACGAAGCAAGCGAACTATTGAGGTTGCTAGGGTAGTGTGTCGGAGTCGAAGGTGGAGATGGCTGTGAATGCGAAACCAAGGGCATGGTTGCAGATAGAGTGCCCAAATGTGCAGAGCGGAAATGTTCACGCATTAAGAATGGTGCTGAAAATATCTCCCTACACCGCGGGCAGGTGTCATCACGAAGAATGCCATGCTCATTCGCTACATGTTTGGCAAGCAAAAAGGCGTTGGGCGAAACCATGTTGCAATGTACACAGCGAAAGCCTAGCAAAGGTAAGGAAGCGAAAATAAAAAAGGAAAGTAAATATTGGTCCAAACAGAAATATGGTATAATTCAACACACGCAAAAAATTAAGATAAATAGTGCAAATGGAACAGCAATAGAGAAACGTACAAAAATAAATTTTTGAAATACGCAATAAATGATAATCCGATAAGAGTGGACTTAAAGTAAAATATAAATCAATACAAGGGTATCGAAGGTATGAAGACCAAGACGGTGTGGCCTTTTGTGCGGTCTCAGTCTCCTTTCATTGTATAGAAGTTGCTTGACCTTGTTTTCGCAACTTGGTCATATTGGTTGAAAGACTCCTAGTCTTCTTACCAATATGACCAAGTTGCGAAAACAACTTCAATACAAGAGCATGTTGAACTTGAGCCATGGTCAAGACGAATTTGTGCCAAATCATTATCTTTCTATTTTTACCATTATACTGTAATTCAGTAAATTATATATAGGGAACTTGGTGGTATTGTTTTTCCTTCTCTATTGACTCCAGGTAAGCCAACGCAACATCATGTAGCCGAGTACAAGCACTTCGTCAAAAAAAGCCTTAATCTGAACACTGGTGGGCCCGAAAATTAAAACATTAATATAATATCCTTTCAAAAAAGGTGCAAGATAAATCAGATTCCTGCGCCAGGCACGGTAGGTGTCAGAGTACACAATTTAGACAGGTTTAATACATAACTTTGGTTTGAATTAATCGATTTGGTATCGAAACTCATCGAATAAAAAAATGAAACCAAACTTACCTCGAAGAAATGAAGACCAAGATGGTGAGAACTACGTTATGGTTGCAGTCTCCTTCGATGTTTAGAGGTGAGCCGACCTCGTTTTTGCAATATGGTCGTGCTGTCAGGATGACTTAGTTGGACGCACCTTGTTCGAGGTCTTGTCTCTTTGACGAGTTATAGCTTGGCGCTGAGAATGGCAAGACTCACTGACGATATAGACTACGATGCAGGCCAAGCGTCTGGGAATTCCCCAAGTCCACGATCCGATACTGAGAATTATGGTAAATACTATAGCAATAGACTTCTGAAAAGAAGCCTCCAGCAAAGTCGCCCTGAAAACACGACCGAAGTGCAAAAACGAGGTCAGCCCACCTCCAAACTTCTTAAAGTTTTCGAACAACTTCCTGATTATGTCGCCAACAAGATATCATAAGCAATAGAAAGGATAAAGATACTCTAAACACTAATTAAAAACGAAAAATAGGATAAGGATTGTTAGATAAAACTTAAGCAAATGATAATCGTAAGCATAACTTTTGTAAAACAAGTGAGAATAGAATTTTTTGTATAAACTAAATTATTAAAAGATTATAAACCATCAGTCCTTTAAACACGTTTATGTCAACACTGATTCTGATCCTCAGACATATCCTATGTTAAGGCACTTATGGGTGAATAGACTCCCGGTCAAAGTCTAGATGGTTTTGAAATCCTCCAGAGATCAAACTATGCAAGAAGTAGAAAAGATTGCGGATTATCTGATACAAGTAATAATTCAACAAACATGTTCTGTTATGACAATCGAAGACAAACGAACATACGGATAAGAGAACCATGGAGAAAATGATAAAACTACTATAAGCAATGCAATTGCAATTAAGGTATCATAACACACCTGCAAATTCCAGGGCAGCATCGCCTTTTATGTACCAAGTCAATGGTCCGGTGCTGGAAATCATAAATACTATGGCAGAGGACGCATGACTAGGTAAGTTTCACAAGCTTCCCTGATGCTCCTAAAAAGTTGCGAAAACGAGATCGAACCAACAATAAAATGTGGTAGGAAGACTTAGATGAAAGCACCTAGTCCGGAGTCCATTGTATGCATGATCATTTCCAAAGTCAGATCGTGGACGTGGTACATTCCCAGACGTTTCGCCGGCATCTTCAGTGAGTCTCGCCACGCGTCAGAAACAAGTGAAGCCCATTCTTTGACCTAACGTGTGCTAAACAATTGTGGTATCTCCCTTTCTGCCCTGGGCTATTCACATTTCTTATAGCCTACTATCACGTGCTTATTTTCAATGTAGTGTGGTGTGCTCCTTCGAGCGGCATTCATGAAAACCCTTCACAATCCACGCTGTCGTTATCACCCCTTTCACTCTTGTGCTGGGAATATTGACCAGAGTCAGTCATATTGTTACGTAGTCCTTCCCTGGGTCCTATCGAGGTCTCCCTCTTACAACGTAGAATCCGTCTGCTATCTCCCTGGTACATGTATTTAACTCTACCCCTGCCCCCTCTTCTGTACAACTTGATCCCCTGCACCTGGGTGATTGATTAGAGGCTAAGGCCTCAGAGTAAATCTCTTGGTCATGCCTTTGCTAGATGGACCACGTCTCTTGTAAAACCTATCGTCAGCCAACTAGTTCCAATCGTCGCCTCGTCTGTCCTGTCTTTAATACCAAGTCTATGACTCGCCATGTCCTAGTCGCTTATGTGCCAAACCACAAATTTTGTAGTACTGTTGGCTTTGATTAGGTTAAATGTGATAACAAAGGAGAAGAAAACCCTTTTCACCAATCTGCCGACGCAACACGAGAAGATTGACAAACTTAATTGCTCAGGAGTTTATCGCGTCAATTGCGGCAACTGTGAGCAGAAGTATACCGGTTAAAC